ACCAACTGAACACAGGTCTAAAGTCCAGCGCGTTAGTTGTGCACGTTCTAATGCTTACACACTGCTTAATACACACATGGTGTACACAGTGGTGTAAAGTCACTAATTACAAATACTCAAATTGCTATAATCGAGTTGTTTTTCCACAGAAATTGTAATTTACTAAGTAGTATTTTTAAAAATATGTACTTCTACTTTCCCTTGACAACATTTTTACTGCTGTATCTGTTCTTTTACTCAACTACTTTCCTTCAACCTGCAGTCACTACTTTATTTTATTCTTGTCTATGGGGATTAAAACAGTCCTGTGATTCCTGTCCAATCAAATCACACATAGAAGGTAAATCGCCTCATTATGAATTTCCTCAAGACATTGCCGCTTTATAATTGCAGCAAACTGTTTGGAAGTTTTAAAAATGTCCAAGATGTCCAAAATCTTTACACCCATTGACCCAGAGACTGTTTAGATGCATGACACTGATGATGGATGTTTATTGTATGATGACCGAAATGGCCTTAAACACCTAGCAGGCAGAAGACGTCAACATGATGTCAAATTGACGATGTACCCTAACATCATGGGGACGTTGCATTTTGATTGGAAATGAAAATCCGGTTGATGTCAGAACTCAACGTCAGGCCAATGTCGAATGTCCAACCTAAAGCCAACCAAATATCAACATCTAATAGTTTTACAGCTTAACGTTGTGTGGACGTTACCACTATGATGTCTATCAGACAATGGATTTTGGTTGCCATACCTGACGAATAGATGTCAGTATTTGACATCAATATAATGTTTAAGACATGTTTAGCTCGACGTTGGATTTTGGTAAATTTTTAACACAACCTAAAACGACCAAATATCAACATCATTGTTCTGTCATTATTGGACATCAAAATAACATTATCTTTAGATGTTTAGACATTGAATATTGGTAATCTGACATCACAATCTAAATCTAACCTAATATTAATGTCTTATGATGATGTGTGCCTGCTAGACAATAACTCGATGCACTACAGAATGTTACGTTTACACACACATGTACAAATTACATGTAAACGCATCAGTTTTTTACATGGTAATACTCGCTACTCTTGAGTACTTTTGAAAGGTCTCTTTTTGCTCATACTTTGAGTAATATTTACAACAGATACTTTTACTCTACTTGCACCACATTGTTAGACAAGTAATGGTACTTTTACTTGAGTATGATTTTCAGTACTCTTTCCACCACTGGATGTACAGCAATACACAAAAATCTTTACAGATGAAAACAATTAAAGGATTAAAATGTCACAAAAAGTATTATTTTCCACATAAATATAAAAAACCACTGCCAACATGCCTCCTTCATATCGGGGGTGGGGGGACTTTTTTCAGTTTAATCATAACAAATTGGAGTTGTGTAATGTTATTATTATCGATTCGCTTCACGATTTTGCGTGTCATCTTTGCACAAGGGACCATGCTAATCTTGAACCAATTTTAGTATATGTGATGTCTCAGACAACACATTATTATTATCAGTATTATTTATTATATTCATATTTATATTTGTTTTACACAAATATCTTTACATATGAAAACAATAAAGGATTAATGTTACAAAAACTATTATTTTCTACAAAAATAATACATGCCTTCATGTTGGGAGGCTTTTTTCAGTTTATTCATGACAATATGATGTTATTATTATTATCAGTATTTTTTATTATATGCATATTTATATTTGATTTTAATAAAACAGGTTTAGATTTGCACATCTGTCGGGTTTTGGAGATGTCTGCATCACCATATTGCGCATAAGGACAGGACATGTGTTTGAATAAAACTCAGTTGTTTGAACACTTTGTTATTATTGTTCAATTATTTGTTTGCTTTAAATTATAACTGAATTTAGAAATAGTTTTGAAACGCGTCTTTTTGCTTAACAAACAATTAAATATGTAGGCTAATGGATGTCTTCAGTGGAGTGAGTTTCCACTGTTTCCTTACGCCACCAAAGTAAAGGAGTAAAGTAAAAAAGTAAAGAGAAAGTAAAGAGGCTGAATGGAGGAGGCTCATTCTTTATCATCGTGCTGCAGATGGTCTGTTTAACTGTTTTCTCACTAGTGAAGCGTTCAGTTTTTCCACATACGAAGTAAGTGTAAATGGGAAATGTGCCATTGGCGTGACGCAACTGACTCTTAAAGGGAATAGGTGATGAGACTCTGATTGGTTTTATGCATGTTATTCTCAAAACACACCCAGAACTTAATAATTAAGAGAATAAGCACAACCCTGTTAGACCATGCGCTGGGGCACAAACTGTATTTTTCTATCCTTAAAATAGCAAAAGTGGATTCGGACACACCCTTTTGTGCCATGTGCTTTAGACTTTGCGCCTAGATCATTAAAATAGAGCCCATGTTGTCAGCTAAAATAAAATACCAGAGTGGTAAAAATAATAGGTGTAAACATTGAAACAATACTGAATGTAGAATGTTTGTGTGCATATGTTTAGTGTAGAATACTAACCTACTGTTAGTAGGTTACTAATACTAATACCCCTGCTAATATTACTAATAAACTAATACCCCTGCATTATGTTCTGTTTAATGTAAACAAAAGGATCATTATGTGTATGCATGATATGCAAAAAAAATTAGATAGTATGATGTATCTTCCATTTTAGTAGTTTAATGGTCAATTATTTAAATTGAATTATTTTTATAATTAATATAAGTTTATGAGAGGCAACACAGTGGCTTAGTGGTTAGCACTGTCGCCTTAGGACAAGAAGGACGGTGGTCAGTTGGCATTTCTGTTTGGAGTTTGCTTTTTCTCCCCATGTTAGTGTGGGTTTCCTCCGGGTGCTCCAGTTTCCCCCACAGTCTAAACACATGTGCTATAGGTGAATTGGATTAACTAAATTGGCTGTAGTGTATGTGTGTGTGTGTGTGTGTGTGTGTGTGTGTGTGTGTGTGTGTGTGTGTGTGTGTGTGTGTGTGTGTGTGTGTGTGTGTGTGTGTGTGTGAATGTGAGGGTGTTTAGGTGTTTCCCAGTACTGGGTTGCAGCTGGAAGGGCATCCGCCGCTTAAAATATATGGCAGAGTAGTTGGTGGTTCATTCCACTGTGATGACCTCTGAAATAGAGACGAAGCCGAAGGAAAATGAATAAGTTTATAAAATATATGTTTGTGTTTGTTTGTTTGTTTGATTAGTTGTTTATTTATGTTATCTTATCTCTTTATTTCAACAATGGAAACAATTTTAATAGTTTGTTTTTACATAATAATAAAAACACTGGCATTAAGGATATTCTGCATTATTATTATTATTATTATTATTATTATTATTATTATTATTATTATTATTATTATTATTATTACTATTATTATTATTGTTTTTATTATTTTTGTTGTTTTTGATGCTGCTGTTGTTATTGTTGTTGTTATTGCTATTATTTTATTATTTAGCTATTATTTAATTATAATTATTATTATTATTATTTATTATTATTAGTAGTAGTAGTATTAAAATAATAATAATAATTTGTTTTTATTAGAATGATTAATTCTTGCATCAATAAGCATTTTTAGACGAGCAAATATATTGTCTTGTTATAATAAGTAATATGCCAAAAATTTTATTATTATTTATTTAAACAAGACAATATATATATATATATAAAAAAAAATTTTCTAATATCGAAAATGCTTATTGATTCAAGAATGTTTAGATTTGGACTAGAAACAAGACGACAAATTTAAGTACCAAAAGTATTTCTTGTGGTGTATTTTTGTTTACATCTGTATATTTTTGTTCATAATGCATTCATTTTCTTTTGGCTTAGTCCCCTACACCCATACACTCATTCACACACACACACACACACACACACACACACACACACACACACACACACACACACACACACACACACACACACACACACACACACACACTCATACTTTGGCCACTTTAAGCTCACATTTCTTGTAATGTCCAGTTTCTGTAGGATTACATTGTAAACCGCATATTTCATTAATAAACTAATAGCTGCTGCTTTATTATCTTTTTCAAATGTTTGTATTAATTGTCCTTCAGTATTTAGCTCTAGAGTGAAATAATAATGGAAAAAAATTAAACATTATTTTGCTTCACTGTAATCTTAGATGTCCTTGATGAAAAACGTTATGTTTAAAGACTTTAGAGGAGTTTAGAGGCTTAAAAGACTGGGCTGTTAAAATCTCGCAGGACCATCAGCCATTCACAAACAATAGAGGAATGTGTGTGAACAATGTGTGTGAAACAGCCTCTGCAGTACCTGCTCCAGCCTACAGAGACGCTGCTGAGAATGAGCTTACACACACGCACACACACGCACACACACGCGCACACACGCGCACACACACACACACACACACACACACACACACACAAACACACACACACTGGTACAGCTATCTTCATGAGGACTTTCCATAGATATAACACACACACACACACACTGGTACAGCTATCTTCATGAGGACTTTCCATAGATATAACACACACATTCAGGTCCCCTTTTTGTCAAAATTAAAAAAAAAAAACTTCAACAAAGGTCTTTTCACTTGATTTTAACATGTTTTATAGCATGACCAAAGGGAGACATGAAAAAAGCCCCCTTTTTGGCGCCAGGTCCCCTCTTAGTGGGTGTGTAACAACACTCAGGTCCCCTCTTAGATAGGTAGGCAAGTGCACACACACACACACACGCACACACACACATACACTACAGCTAATTTAGTTCATCCAATTCCCCTATAGTCCATGTGTTTGGACTGTGGAGGAAACCCCCACCAGCAAGGGGAGAACATGCAAACTGGCCCACACAGAAATGCCAACTGGCCCTGCAGAGACTCAAACCAGCGACCTTCTTTCTGTGAGGTGACAGTGCTAACCACTGAGCCACTGCTTTGCCCCATAATTCATCAGGTGGCACTTTAAGTGTTATTTATTTATTCATTTATTTATGTGTGTTCTGCAGCGGCTCCGGGTGGAGACGAGGTGGCGCTGTACGTGGGCATCATCATGGCGGTGCTCATGTGTCTGATAGTGTCTGCAATCGTGGCTCTCCTGGTTTATCGCAGGACTCATCGCCGCTTTCACTCGGACATCATCGACTCGTCGGTGCTGAACGGCGGATTTCAGCCTGTCAGCATCAAACAAGCACGATCAGGTGACCCCTTCACACCTCACTGCACTGAAAACAAATCACTCACTGGATTCACTACAATTTTGCAAGCATGTTTATGCTCACCAAAGCTGCCTAGATGAAAAGTTCCTGATTTAATACCGTATAGAAAGTTCAGTAGAACAGCATTTACTTTGAGTTAAGCATCTAAAGACTGATATAGTACACTGAAAAAAGGATTTATTGGATTTACTCATTTTTTTAAAGGTAAGTGGTTGCAAACAATTAATATGGGCTGAATTTTAACAAACAAATTAAAGTGTTTAAAGAGCCCCTATTATGGGTTTTTGAGAATGACCTTTCATGTAGTGTGTAACACAGCTCTAAGGGAAATGAAATATCCAGCTAAGGCTTAAATCTGAAAGTGGACAGTTTTGAAAACTATTGATTCATCTATAAAAGAGTCGACTCATAGTGCTTCAAATGAATCGTCTTGATGACCACAACGATACGAAACTTAAGCCCTGCCCAATTGTTGCTCGCGCAAAACCGGGAAAATTAAAACCTGCGGCCCCGCCCACTAACCGTAGCAAAGAAAAAGGAAGACGAGTACTTTAGCGGACGCCACTGGAATTAAGTCATGAAGACGCTGTGGGATATTCTGCTGGATATTGTTGGAAGTGTGAGGGGAAAGTTGGTGTTATTTTCTCTTCCCAAAGATGAGGCTGTGAAGAGTCAGTGGTTGAGGTTTATTTTTGCAAAAATACCTCAGCATTATAGCCCAGCCCTGTGCAGTTCGAGTCCTTCTGGAATCTACACACTTACAACAGGGCATTCATCGGCCGTTTGTTAAAGGAAGGATCAGAAAAGACTATTGATGCAAGGCACTGTCAGTACATGGATCAGTGGATCATGGATCAGTTTCCTCCTCCATTTCACAAGTGTAAGTAAATGCGATTAATATGGCTCCCCCCTTGTTTTTTCTAGCTTGCAAATTATGTATTTGGTTGGGTTTTGTTGTACCACACATACATATGGTATAGGTGAATTGGTTAAGCTAAATTGTTTGTAGTGTATGTGTGTGAATAAGTGTGTATGGATGTTTCCCAGTTGGAAGGGCATCCGGTGCATAAAACATAAGCTGGATAAGTTGGCGGTTCATTCCGCTGTGGCGAACCCAGATTAATAAAGGCACTAAGTCGGAAAAAAAAACAATGAATAAATGTAATATTTTACATTAATGCTGTTTTACTGTTTATTATTATATATGTATTATTAAATAAATCATGAGAGTCATATGAGAGTCGTCTTTACCTTTATCTGCCCCACCCAAAAAAATAGTTTGGATTCTATTTCTTAATTTCTATTGTCGTTAGGTAACACACTCAATGCATTTTTTAACACATCCCATAATTTCTAAAAATATCAACCTCTACCAAATGGTTAATATGTCGACTTGTGGTAAAACTACCAGAATTAATACATCAAAAAATCTGAAAAAAAAATGAAGTATAAAAACATAATCAAAATAAAACATTTTTGAATACTAAATCATCTTTGTTTTTTGTAGTATGCCATAAATATTTCAGATCCTCATTTAACAAATTTACTTTTACAATACAACCCAAATCAAGTGTAGTAGTGCAACAGGATTATGTTTGTTTGTTTGTTTGTTTGTTTGTTCGTTTGTTTGTTTGTTTGTTTGTTTGTTTGTTTGTTTTTTGGAAACCAACAAAGCTGTGTGTGTAAGCCATAATTTAAAAACATCTGGTGAAAACTTAAATGTCAATTGTTTTAAACTCAGTTCCTGGAGGGCCACAGCTCTGCATAGTTTATCTTCAACCACCTCCAACTCACACCTGCTTAATAGTCCATAACACCTTATCCTTGAACACCTTAATTAGCTGGATCAGCTGTGTTTGATTAGGGTTCAAGCTAAACTGTGCAGAGGTGCTGCTTTCCAGGAATCCAGTTTGAGACCTAAGTTAACATCACCTTTAGAAATACTGTTTTTGAGAAACATGGTGAGGTATTTAATACTTATTATATATATGAATGCATGTATTTAAAACCATTCAAATTTATTTTCCATAAAAATAACTTTGGGTAAAATTAGGAATTTTTGAAGAATTGTTAAACTTTATTTATTTATTTATTTATTTATTTATTTATTTATTTATTTATTTATTTATTTATTTATTTAATTATTTCATTATTTATTTATTTATTTGGTTATATATTTATTTATTATTTGATTATTTATTTGATTATTTATTTATTTGATTAATTATTTATTAATTTGGTTATGTATCTATTTTTTTGAAGATAAATTTTTTTATTTGATTTTTTATTTATTTGATTTATATATTTATTAGATTTTTTATTTATTTATTTATTTTATTATTTATTCATTGTATTAGATTTTTTTTATTTATTGATTTGAATGTTTATTTATTTGATTTAGTTATTTATTTATTAGATTTTTTATTTATTTACTTTATTATTTATTAATTTGATAATTTGTTTAGTTATTTGATTATTTACTTTATTATTTATTTATTAGAATATTTGATTATTTATTTGTTTGATTACTTATTTATTTGATTATTTATTTATTTAATAATTTATTTATTTTATTGTTTATTTTTTTATTTATTTGATTTATTATTTATTTCATTATTTAGTTATTTGTTTACTTATCTTTTATTTATTTGATTATTTTTTATTTTTTATTTATTTATTTGATTATTATGAGTTAAAAGTTGATTGGCTGTCATGGTTATGATTGGGTTAAGGTTAGGTTTACAGTTCAGAATTAGGGTTAGACACTCATTTCTGACAGCTGGGGTTAGTGTAAGGTGATAGACTTGTGTCAGTCAATGTTTTTACAATTAGAGCTGTGTCTAGGTGGGTGTTCATTTTGGGTTGAGTTTGGGGATGGGGGATTGAGTCTTTGTGCAGTATAAACATCATTATATCTATGGAAAGTCCTCATGAAGATAGCTGTACCAGTGTGTGTGTGTGTGTGTGTGTGTGTGTGTGTGTGTGTGTGTGTGTGTGTGTGTGTGTGTTTGTGTGAAGGAGAAACTCGGGTGACATTTAATCTGAAGAATATTTGAATGGCTGTCAGTCTCGGAGCTGAACAGGTTATCATTAATGAAGAATTGTGCTTTTGCTCGCTCTCGCGTTGTCTCGCTTTCCCCCCATTTCCTCGCTGCTTTTCTGCGTTAATTAAACATGAAGCGAGCTGTAGGTATAAATGGCATCCCGTCGGGTCGAGAGCGGCGTGTGGAGACGTCAGCAGATGAGTTGATAAATACAGATGTAGAAGATGTTCTGATGCTGAAGTGATCGGGATGTGTTTGTGCTGATCGGGCCATCGGTGTGCATGTGTGTGTGTGATGAATGAGTGTAACGTGAGCGCGGTGAGTAATGCTCACACCTGAGAAACTGCAGAGAGAAAAAGAGCTGCTGAGCGAAGTGACAATCCTCTGTTTAGTCACTGTGGGAAGCTGAATGTTAATGAGCAATCAGTATGGAGATTACCAGCCGCTGGCTATAAGAGTCTTTTACAAGCTCACACACACACACACACGCACACACAAAGAGTGGGATTTCATTTCAAAATAGCACACAACAGAAATACATGCAAGGAATAGGTCAGCTAAAAGTGAACTCGATTACCCAACTTAATGTCGTTATAAACCTGCATGGCTCTTTGTATTGTGTGGAGCAAAAAAGGAGATATTTCACAGAATCACCAAGCTGCTCAGTTTTTGTTTGGGTTTTTTTTTTTTTGCAACGAAAGTGAATAGTTAAGATTGTACTGTACTGCATGTTCACACGCAAGATCCAGATGGAGAAGTAAAGGAGATACTTCACAGAATCACCAAGCTGCTCAAATTTTGTTTTTGTAGGGTTTTTTTGTTTTTTGGAATGAAAGTGAATATTAGATGATGGTACGGTGTTCACATGCAAGCTGCTAATGGAACACGAAAGGAGATAATTCACAGAATCTCCAAGCTGCAGTGAAAGTGAATATTAGAGGCTGATAGTGTATGTTCATGTGCAAGCTTCAAATGGAGCAGATAAGGAGATATTTCATAGAATCACCAAACTGCTCAGTTTTTGTTTGGTTTTTGTTTGTTTGTTTTTGCAACGGAAGTGAATATTTAAGATTGTACTGCATGTTCACACCCAAGCTCCAAATGGTGAAGTAAAGGAGATATTTCACAGAATCACCAAGCTGCTCAAATATTCTGTTTTGTTTTTGTTATTTTTGTTTTATTTTTTATTTTATTTTTTTGCAATGAAAGTGAATATTAGACGCTGGTACGTGTTCATATTCAAGCTGCAAATGGAACACAAAAGGAGATATTTCACAGAATCTCCAAGCTGCTCAGTTTTTGTTTTTTGTTTTTGTTATTTTTGTTATTGTTTTTATTTTATTTTTTTTGCAACGAAAGTGAATATTTAATATTGTACTGTACTGTATGTTCACACCCAAGCTCCAAATGGAGAAGTAAAGGAGATATTTCACAGAATCACCAAGCTGCTCAAATGTAGTTTTTTGGGGTTTTTTTTTTTTTTTTTGCACTGAAAGTGAATATTAGACCCTGGTATGGTGTTCACGTGCAAGCTGAAAATGAAACACAAAAGGAGATATTTCACAGAATCATCAAGCTGCTCAGTTTTTTTTCTTGGTTTTTCTTTTTATAATGAAAGTGAATATTAGAGGCTGATAGTGTATGTTCATGTGCAAGCTTCAAATGGAGCAGATAAGGAGATATTTCACAGAATCACCAAACTGCTCAAATTTTGTTTTTGTAGTTTTTTTTTTTTTTTTGCAACGGAAGTGAATATTTAAGATTGTACTGTACTGTATGTTCACACCCAAGCTCCAAATGGTGAAGTAAAGGAGATATTTCACAGAATCACCAAGCTGCTCAATTTTACTTTTTGTTTTTGTTATTTTTGTTATTTTTTTTATTTTTATTTTTTTGCAATGAAAGTGAATATTAGACGCTGGTACGTGTTAACATGCAAGCTGCAAATGGAACACAAAAGGAGATATTTCACAGAATCTCCAAGCTGCTCAGTTTTTGTTTTTTGTTTTTGTTATTTTTGTTATTGTTTTTATTTTATTTTTTTTGCAATGAAAGTGAATATTAGACGCTGACATGGTGTTCACATACAAGCTTTTGTTTTTGTTTGCGTTTTTTTTTTTTTTTTTTTTGCAACGGAAGTGAATATTTAATATTGTACTGTACTGTATGTTCACACGCAAGCTCCAAATGGAGAAGTAAAGGAGATATTTCACAGAATCACCAAGCTGCTCAAATATAGTTTTTTGGTTTTGTTGTTTTTTGCAATGAAAGTGAATATTAGACGCTGATATGGTGTTCACAAATGGAACACGAAAGGAGATATTTCACAGAATCTCCAAGCTGCTCAGTTTTTTTCTTGGTTTTTCTTTTTACAATGTAAGTGAATATTAGAGGCTGATAGTGTATGTTCATGTGCAAGCTTCAAATGGAGCAGATAAGGAGATATTTCACAGAATCCCAAACCTGCTCTGTATTTTGTTTGTTTTTTTGCAGTGAAAGTGAATATTAGATGTGGATACTGATACTAATACTGTATGTTCACATTCAAGCTCAAAATGGAGCACTAAAGAGATATTTCACAGAATCACCAAGCTGCTCAGTTTTTTTCTTGGTTTTTCTTTTTACAATGTAAGTGAATATTAGAGGCTGATAGTGTATGTTCATGTGCAAGCTTCAAATGGAGCAGATAAGGAGATATTTCACAGAATCATCAAGCTGCTCAGTTTTTTTCTTGGTTTTTCTTTTTACAATGTAAGTGAATATTAGAGGCTGATAGTGTATGTTCATGTGCAAGCTTCAAATGGAGCAGATAAGGAGATATTTCACAGAATCCCAAACCTGCTCTGTATTTTGTTTGTTTTTTTGCAGTGAAAGTGAATATTAGATGTGGATACTGATACTAATACTGTATGTTCACATTCAAGCTCAAAATGGAGCACTAAAGAGATATTTCACAGAATCACCAAGCTGCTCAGTTTTTCTTTTGTTTTTGTTTTTGTTTTGTTTCGTTTTTTTTTTTTGCAACGAAAGTGAATATTTAATATTGTACTGTACTGTATGTTCACACCCAAGCTCCAAATGGAGAAGTAAAGGAGATATTTCACAGAATCACCAAGCTGCTCAGTTTGTTCTTGGTTTTTCTTTTTATAATGAAAGTGAATATTAGAGGCTGATAGTGTATGTTCATGTGCAAGCTTCAAATGGAGCAGATAAGGAGATATTTTACAGAATCACCAAGCTGCTCAAATTTTGTTTTTGTAGGTTTTTTTTTTTTAGCAACGGAAGTGAATATTTAAGATTGTACTGTACTGTATGTTCACACCCAAGCTCCAAATGGTGAAGTAAAGGAGATATTTCACAGAATCACCAAGCTGCTCAATTTTACTTTTTGTTTTTGTTATTTTTGTTATTTTTTTTATTTTATTTTTTGCAATGAAAGTGAATATTAGACGCTGGTACGTGTTAACATGCAAGCTGCAAATGGAACACAAAAGGAGATATTTAACAGAATGTCCAAGCTGCTCAGTTTTTGTTTTTTGTTTTTGTTATTGTTTTTATTTTTATTTTATTTTTTGCAATGAAAGTGAATATTAGACGCTGACATGGTGTTCACATACAAGCTTTTTTTTTTTTTTTTTTCACGCCTCCTTAAACACGAGCACAGCAAAAGAACCCTCTCTCATGTGTTAAAAGCGACTATAGTGCTCGTCCGGCTGCGAGCAAGCCAAACTGACATGCTATTTCAGAGCGAATATTTAGAGTTGCATGGTAAACAATATAGGGAGAGACTAGGCGGAATAGCCGTATTTACTTAAAATAAAAATCTACATTATCGATGCTGTAAAAGGACCTTATGAAACTGAAAATAGTCTTATAAATTTTTCATCGGAAGATTTTAGTGGCTGAACAACACTTCTGTTAAGATATAACCCATTTGTAACAATATCAGCTAAAGTTACATCAGCTTTGCATGAAGCTAACTACTTTTAAAACAGAACATTACCTATAAGAGAAATCCTTCAGACATGGGGTCATCCTTTCTCCAGCGTGCAATAACTCCAGTATTGTTTCAGGTTTTTAAAAAGTTTTCATTCAGCAGGTTTTTACCGATCTTGCATGCACGCGCCCTCTCTTGTGAACGTGCAGCACAAACAGCGGTCGGCGGAGCTGCGTACAAACGGCTGCGCAGTTGTTCAAATCTGCATTTGCTGACAGACACTTTGGG